CAAGACCATCAAGATTGGCTTGTGACTTGTGGCTTGTGATTGGCTTGTGGACAATCGAATGAACCAATCCATGCTTGATACTCTCAAATTGATTCAGCCATTCGCACAAGGTGATGACCGTGGACTGTTTATCTCACGCATGAGGGTTTAAAGTCCCTATCTGAAGGTTTGAGTCCTGACAGAGACACAAAGAGTGCGTACTGCTGACTAGTCCCCAAAAGAACAAAACAGCTGTCCAGTGCTCTTTGTCGTTTGTCGCAAAGATTTTCATCACATTTAAATCCTGTTTACTTATTTTTATTTTGTTAGATAGCAATGCTAATTCATCCAATTTTGATCATAGTATATTTGCTTCAGTAGACGATCAGAACATTTGCGGAGGTGAACAACCATCGAAGTCGTACGCGTAACGAGAACATAAAACTGGATGATTACCTTGAATTCACGTTTCCGTTTACATTTCAACATTGAGTTTCACAGTTCAAGAAACTCAACCACAAAAGTACAGCTTTGATGGAAAGTAGACTTTTAGAAACGGGAACCTCTGTCCTCCCACACAAAAAATTGTTTTTTCAATACCAACAGCAATGAAGCACGTGATGATTTAGTCAAGTATTTGATGAAGCTCCAGGTCACAGTCAGAAATGCAATCCGTTAATTAGAAAAGATGCTCTGGGTCCATTGGAACTCATTATCTCTGCATAATAAGCATGGGAATAATCATTCCGTACACCTGGAACACATAGTTTTCACATTAGTAGAAGTGATTAGCTACCAACAACCAAAAATACTAACTCTGTTTTTTTTTAAACAGTATTTATCACACTTATTTTCAGTGCCGTCATTCCGATAAACCAATACACTCAATGAAGATGCAATATAATAACCATCCTGAATTATTGACTTTGTTAACTTGAGAAAACGATTTGAACACCTTTAAAAAATACAGTACGATCGATCTTAGGAAATGAGCATAGTGGGCTCTTCAATTGTTCTTCATGGCTATTTACCCGCCTTACGTCAAGGGCAATATCGATGCAGCTTTCCTGTGAACTGGCCGAAATATAATACAGCCTTTGGTGCAGTTTTGGGTGAATCAGGTATATCATGGTAGTGCATTACTAAAGGGTCTTTCAACTCCAAACATTGTCAATCGAACCAGGAAACAAAAGGTCTAACCCGTAGAGGAGAACAGTAAGCATATGCGTACGTCACCTCGTATGAATTAGTAAGAGCTAAGAACCTAGAAATTAAGATTGAGATAGCGCTAAGTGTTACCCCAAGATTGGGTTCTTAATACGTGGGAATTACCCGTGGTTGGTGACCTGTGCTGAATTCATATAAAATGATTCACGATAACATAATAAATGAAGTAAGTGTAGATGTACGTTGAACAGCCTTTGACATCAAAACGACGTTTCTAAAAGTCAAAAACGTTATGCGCGTTACGCCATCGTGCGATCAGTTAGGATGTGCATGATTACTTTGAGTTCACGCTCGGAAGATCTCCGTTGATGAGCCGTTTTTAATTGCCTATGTTTGCAAACGTCGGCACAGCTGGGATGCGGCCAGAGGAGTATGGAACACTGACGTGTGTGGTCAAATGCTTACATGTAGCTCAGTGAAAATGTTATTCATTCCTTGCCATACTTCTATACACAGTTTTAATTGCTCAAATTAACAACTCTTATAAACAGGGTGAATCAGTTAGCAATGTGGTATTGTAGAATTACCATGATCAAACAATGAACTAATTTTTGAAACAAAAGCAAGTTTTCATTTATAGCTTAATCACTGTTTTATGAATGCCTAAAGGGGCATTTATTAAAACTATACTCTATGTTGAAATCACAGGATCAATTGACCTAACCCATAGCACTGCACACTGCGTTAGTCATTCTTAGACTATTTTTTTTCGATTGAAGGCAGGTTACTGGTTAAAAATGCCATTAGTGACGTTTGCATCCACATCACTTTGGAGAGGAAAATCCATGGCATGCAGTCAATTCGGTAGCAAGAGACTGTTGCCGATTACCAAAAATCGAAGGCAAAAGTTATTGATAGTGGGCAGTTAAGAACATAGCCGTGTATTTTCAGTGATGATTCCTAAGATTTATAGTTCTTCGACTACTACAACTCTGAGCCTATATAGATAAACTTGATTTGACGGAAGATTACTTTTTTGTGGCGAGTAATGTTCAGCTCACATTTTGGGGTACGTTACCGATCTGCTCCCGGTAAAGCGGATAAGTCTCGTTGCCAATTGCGCACACAACCATATCAACTTCCGCACAATAATACCTACTGTACGTGAATTTAAAGATGTGAGGATTTTGTCAGTAAATGAAAAGTATTTGGTTATGTCATCGTTTATTCAACAGAACTTTTGTTAACACTTTGTTCAAAATTAGTCGTGATAACCTTTCGGATTATATTACCACTGTGTAAGGAACAGAACATAACCGTAAGGATCAGATAATAGTTTGTGATTATCAGTAACTGAAATCCTGGGATTTGAAATTCATCTTATACAATAACCGTGCTGCTGAGTCGAGCATCCTCGATACTATTTACAACCAAGTTTGATGGAGAAGGCATATTTCCTTACCTCAGACCACAACCTGGAGTACGTTAGTGACAGCTGCTAATTAAGCTTGAAACCATCACCTATGCCACACTATGTAACGTCCGCAAAAGCCAAGCAGAATGAAAAGGAAATCTGCTTTGCTCAGCACTAATTAAATAAACAAGCAACCGGACAGAAGCAGAGTGTTCGTACAGGCGAATAATTATGCGATTACCAATCAGCAAATCAAACGGACAAGGCTGTTCAAACTGTATTATGTGCGAGTCAGAATGATTGGTATGCGGATATTGCACAAGTCAACAAAGGCACAGATTGCGGAAAGACTCAAAACTGAAAATAATATTTGTCAATGAGATGCCGTTTAAGGATTTTTCAAATGCAAATGACTATATATGTCTTCGATACAGGCAGTAAATTTAAGAGGGAACCTTTGTTGTACGTGTTATGCATGCAGCGTTTTAGTTTAGAGTGTGCAGAAGACATTGTGCTACCAAGTGAACATCCAAGAAAGTAGCAAGCTTCTCTGGATAACCTGA